TCTGGTCCACATCAAACCTGCAGAGTTAACAGGCAAGTAACCCGAGAGAGGGCAGGACGGAGGCAGCTGGTAAAGGTGCTGGGGGCAGGAGGAAGGTGGCCAGTTGGGAACAGAGCCTGCCTTGGCCACAAGCCCTCATGGGACTGTCTCCTCACCTGTGGGCGGACAGGACGGGGCAGCTCGGGGGCAGCCGTGTGGCAAAGGACTCTGATGCTACTTGGCTCGGAGATGTGACAAACAGCAGGAGCGGCAGCCACAGCGCCACTGCCTTCCAGGGCTCCCCAGGAGGCCTTATTTCTCTGGGCAAAGAGAAGTCAGGCTTTGGCCAGCTGTGCCCCTACCTCTGCCGGTCAGCAGGGCAAGGCCTTTGAGAGTGTGGCTTCAGGCAGACCAACATCAGGGAAAGGAGACAGAAGGGGTCCTGTCCCACGACACGCAAGAAGGGGGAGATGACACTGGCTGGCTGCTGAGCAAGGGGCTGGGACAGGCCTCTCCCTGCTGTCCAGGCTGGCGGCCCTCCCATGCTCAGAGGACCACCGCCCATGGGGAAGAGGCCAGGCACACGTCCTGAGACAACGCTGCCCTCTTCTGGCCAGAGCTGGGAGGTCCAGCTTGTCACCAACCAGCCACATCCTGCCTGCAGTTGGGCAATCCAGGCCTGGGCATCCTTAGACTGGTGTTCCAGAAGGTTCTGAGAGGGGCCACAGGGCACCCTACCCTGGGAAACACCCTCCATGCCACTTGATCTGATGCGGGGGAGAGGGAGGCGGCGGCAGGTGAGGAGGGGTATCCCAGTTGTTTTCCCAATCGGAGCCCACTGGAGGCACACCCTGGACCCTCCCAGCCCTGCCACAGGGGTGAGCCTGCCCTGCGCGCCCAGGAGAGGCAAGGAGCGCTACAAGGCTGGCCTCAGATCTGGGAGTCCAGCGCAAGAATGGGCCCGACTCCAGGGGCCCAGCTTCCCAGGGGATTTAAACCTGGATGACGGTGCTCCCCGCTGGCCCCCACTGCCTCCACCCCTCGTGTGCACTCTGTTCCAAAGCCCAGGCTGGTCGTGGGAGGGGAGGGCTCTCTGGGAGGACGACCAGGGCGGGGTCCCAGCCACATCTGGGCTCACACCCACGTGGTGGGGGCTGGTTTGCTGGGAGGGGTCTTGTGGGGCTCCCACCTTGGACGGGCATCCAACAACTTCAGAAATCACCCCTTGGGTGAGCACGCGAAGAGCACTAATTAGCAAGGGCACCACACTTTTGCAACCCTGTTTTAGAAGGTCTGCCTGCTTGCCTTAAAAATGAAAACAAAAAGCAATGAACGGCTTCTCTAGGGCACTGACCTGGTGATGCGGTTCACGGGAACCCCAAGGGACACAGTGGGAAAGGGCTCTGAGGGCCAACAGCAAAGCCCCCGGGGCCCCACCGGAGACCTGGGGGCTCTGAACCAGCCGACGGGAGGGGCCCAGGGATCTGAAGCCACACCAAAGTCTGGTTCTTCACCCTGGGACCCACGAAGGGCAAGCGGGGCAGCATCTAGCCTGAGAGAAACCGGAAGGGGCCGGAGGAGCAGGCATGGTGTGAGGAGTGGTCCTCGAAAGGCTGTTCTCAGCTCCCAGGGGACATGCCTGATGTGGAGGAAAAACCAGCCATCTAACTGATGGGCCCCAATGACAGGGTGATGACCGAGGCTGAGAGTGGCCACAGCCCAGCTCCTGGAAACTCCTGGTACTGAAGGACAGAGGCATGGAGGTGGGCCCGGCCAGTCTCACACTCCACCTGGCACACACCTAGACGACAGTTTTGGGGCTGAAAACACAGAACAGGCAGGCCACATGACTCGAGAGCCCTCTGTGAATAAACTAGGCCTGGCTGTCGTTCTGCTGGTGGCTCCCACCTCTAGTCTGTCATAAAACCAGCTGCCGGAAGGTGAGCCTCAGGCCCTGGAGCACAGGTCAGTGAGGTCCTGCCTGCAGGCTCTGGGGATGGCCACCACGCTGCAGCTCTCCCCCACCGAGGGCCACGCTATGCCAGGCTCCATGCTCTAGCATGTGGTCCTCACTATCTCTGAATCCTCCCCGAGTGAGGGGCTGTACTACCCCCAGTGACTGACACAGAGAGGGAGGCTCAGAAGTGGGCACTCAGTTGGGGGCGGGGGGCAGGGACTTGAACTGGGGACTCTGCACTCATCACACAGCCCCGCTCCTCTGAGGCTCCCCCAGTGTCGGGGCACGTCTGGGACTGCGGGGAGAAGGATGGAAAGGGCGCCCACTCCCCACCGTCTCCAGTACTGACTGCCCTGGACCAGCTCTGGCCCCCAGACAGCCCCATCACTACACGTGAAAATACCTCTGGGGAAATTTCACCCGGCATCAAGGGACGGACTCAGAGTGCATCACGCCAAGCGGGCCTGGGAACCACTGCTCTGGGACATACTCAGCTTCAGGAAAAACTCTGCACTGTGCTCCTATTTTGGTTTCATACCTTATAATAAAGTATCGTGCTTTTATGTTGGGATAACAGAGTGATTTATTATTTACCAAACCCAGTGGGCGCTTGGCAGATCAACTTCAATAAAACAATGGATTATAAATGCCGCCAGCAACCCGGCAGTAGCACTAATCAACAAAACGTGTTGCTCTAAATGCTGCATAATAAATTGACTATAACAAACTCACAATGATTCTACTGGCGACATCTCAAAGTTAGCACCGGAAAAACAAAACCACCCATTTGGGCTTGGTATTAACATCCGTGGGACTCCCTGGATCACTGTCTCTAAAGCTGCACCTGGAGACACATGCGTCACATGCTGCCCAGGAGGCCAAGGCCACAGTAGCCGGGCATGCGGGGGCCTGAAGGACACTGTGCCCTGGTCAGTCACACCCACTCATAGGGGCCACACCAGGAACACAGAGGGTGAGGACCCTCTTTGGGGCAGATAAAGAGGGGAGTGGAGCAGCTGCCACTTCCTCCGGGGTGGGCCGAGCTCATGGAGGAGAAACACTCATGGCCACATGGCCCTGGTGGCAGGGCCCTCTAACTGGCTAGAGCTGCCACTGGACAGCTGGGATCCGCTCGTGTGGCTGGGTCTGTGCCTCTGCCCGGGAACTGGGTTCCCACATTCTGTCCTCCCAGCCCAGCCTGAAAGGGCCGGAGTTAAAGGGATTAGGAGGGGTTACAGGGGTCTAGAGTCCCTGAAGAGGCCAGTTGGACTCTCCTTGGGGCCACCAGCAGCTCAGCCATGGCCCAGAAGGCGGGCCCTCCCATCTCTTTCCTTAGTCTCCAGCTGAGCCAAGTCTGTGCCAGCCAACTTGGTGCCAGACCCCGCAGCTCTGCATCTGGACCTGGTACCCTTCTGGGTCTCAGGGACCTCACCTGCACACGGTGAGGGGGATGAGGCTCCCACCTCGAGGGGTCAGGGGGAGAAGATCTACGTAAACAGACTGCCCTGGTGCCAGGCACAGGGGAGCATTCCGTCAAGGCTGCTGCACGTTCCTGGCCCTCAGGCCAGGAAGGATGTAAGACACTTGGGAGGGTGCGGTAAGCGGCAGTGCTACTGGCCCGCCTCTATGGCCACTTTGGGCGTCCCCCTCTGCACATTCCCATCCCTGCCCAGGCCCCCGGAGATAGGGCACATCGGCCCAGCACTTGTGTCCCCACCGTGTCCCTTCTGCCACTCTGTGCAGTCCTGAGAGGCATGTGCTATCTCCACTCACAGATGAGTAAACTGAGGCCCAGAGAGGGAACTAAGTGGCTTGGTTTGCTCCCAGAAGGCTGGGCTGTGCTCTCGCCAGCTACTAACCCTGGGTGAGGGGGGAGACTGCGGCCAGTCCCATGTGGCAGGGGACTCTGTGATTGCGTGGGTTTCCAAAAACACTTGGCAGTGACAGCTCAGCACACAGCATCATCTCTTGATTCACATCCCGATGGCTGTGGGCTAGGGACCCCTGGGCACAGGCGCCCCTCACGTCCTGCTGCAGGGCTGGGTTACCGGGCAACGCCAGGTCCTGGTATGGCAGGCATTACCGACACTCCAGGATGGGGCCTGAGCCCAGCGAGGCACATGGGCAGCCTGGAAAGAAGCTGACACTGCCCAGAAGCAGGTAGGGAGCCTTGCCCAGGTGCCCCAGCAACAGGAGGGAAAGGCATCAAGAACCAGGGGGACAGTGAGCATGCCACCCCCTCGCCCCTCGGCTGTGGGTTCATGACCACAGCAGATGTTTGGAGGCTAAGCCAGGGCGGCCCAGTGGGGTTCCGGGTGGCTCTCGGCAGCCCTGCGGGAGCCTGGACTGGCCCTGTCTGACGTCTGGGTAGTGGAGAGAACAGGCAAGTGGGGGGCCGGCCCAGGTCAGTGACACCCACAGTTCACTCCCAAGGCCCGGAGCGGCAAGGCAGGGCCTATGCCCAGTGGGAGCCCTATGCACCAGGGCTCCAGGAGCAGGACCTGTGATTCTGCCAACAAAGGAGTCTGTTGGAGGGCTGGAGGCCGTGGATCTTGACCACGTCTTCTTCACCATGGCTCCCCGAGGAGCTGGGAGCCCGTGAAATGGTGCTCAGAAAGCCCTGCAAACAGCCTCGTGGCTGAAGCACTCCCTCAGCCCTCCTGAACCGATGGTCGCTTATGTCAAGGTGTCCTGTGGCTAAGGCCAGCGGCTCTCAGAGGCTGGGGTGCCCGCCCCTGCCCTGAGACAGAGGGCTGAGTGTGGCGGGTGCTGGGTGCAGAGGACAGCTGGGCAGGGGCTGGGGACAGCTGAGGCCCTCCTCAGAAAGCCTCCCATCCCATGGCCCCACAGGCAGCTGCCTCAAGCCCACAGCCCGGGGTCCCCGCCCCATCTCAGTGCTTCCACAGCCCGGGCGAGGCGGCACTGGGCAGGCCAGCGGCCGGGGCAGAGTTGTCTGGGCCAGAGCGGGCCGGGCTGCCCTGGGTCAGCCCTCCCAGAGTGGGCGGTCAGTCCTGCTTGAGGCTGAGTCCCCTGCCCCCCGCTGCTCACTCCCAGCCTCACTCACCACATGTCTCCGTCCTGGATGGTCCGGTCGTTGGGGGCCCCAGCATGTCCATAGTGCAGCACAGCCGAGTTCTCCCCACTGCAAAGGTCAGGGGTCAACAGCTCACATCACCAGCAGTGCCCTCCCCACGGCAAGACCGCTAGCTGCCACCAAGGTCCAGGGTCAGCTGCACAGGCCTGCAGTGGAGGTGGGGCAGGCGGCCCAGTGGCCCTAGCACCTGCTCAGCTCACAGGGGCACGGCCCACTGCTTCTCCAGCTCAGGCTGCTCAAGCCGGTGCCCTCTCGGCCAGGGATACGGGCCTGATGTGGGCAGGACAGGTAAAGAACAGAAATAGGAAGCGGGGCAGTCAGGGGACGCCCTCCTTTTCTGGTGGCTAAACAGGGCGGGGAGGCCCCTGGGAAGGCCTGGGCGGTGTCAGGGGTGCCATGCAGGCCTGTGGGGCGGGAGACAGGCGCGAGTAGCTCCTCTGCTCGAGTGAGCTTCCCTAGTGAGCGCAGCCTTTAAGAAAAAAAGGACTTTTAAGTCTGTCCAAAGGAAAAAAAAAACAAAAAAACCCCACCTGGGTGTAATATTTATGGCCCCGTTCGGGAGTCTCAGGAATCATAAAAGTAGAAATAATGATTTTTCTCTCTATCCACCAGAGAAGAACATTTCCAAGGACTGAGATGTTCACATGTATTATTCATGTGCTAAGGACGTGCACATCAGCACTGATGCTGTCGCCGTCCTGGCTGAGCAGAGGCCAGAGCCTCCGCCCCAAGGGGCACAGTGTGGGGACACGGGCTGGGGTGAGCCCAGGGGATGGGGGGCCAGGACGTGCTCCTCAAAAACACACATATAATGGCACACGCAGCCACAGAGACGGGCACAGAGCTGTGCAAACCCCAGAGACCACAGCAGTGCACACTTACAGCCACAAGCTGCACCGATATTCATGGATGTTCCCCACACAGCCACAGCCACAGCCACAGCACCACCCACACACCCACACACGGACACACACCCACATACAGACACACAGCCATGGCCTCCTGCACTGACACAGCTCCTTCCACTCCCGCTACACACAGACACTGTCACAGCCTGAGGTCACAGCCTGGTCCCGACTGGGTGTGTGCCTGAGTGGAAGGGGTGAGGAAGGCCAACAGTGGCTGGAAAAGCAGCCACCTGGAGACAGGAAGGGAGGCAGGGCCGTGGCGGGCTGGCTCCCTCCTTCGCCCAGCACAGCCTGGGGCAGGCTGCAGTGACCTCAGCTCCTGGAGCTTAGGAGGGAAGATGGACTTCCAGGTTCAGGGGGGCACTAGTGTGGGTGGGGAGAGAGCAGCTTCATCTAAGTTGGGGGACGGGGGGGGTCCCTCACCTTCCCCTAACCTTCTCCCACGATCATCCCCGCGTGGCCCAGGATGCTCACTTACCTGCCGCAGATGCAGGTGTAGGAGCTGTGGCGCATGCCGCCCCGGGAGTAGCAGTAGTGCTCAAAGAGACTGCAGGGGAAGACGACGCATCAGGGAGGGCTCACTGGAGCCCACACGCCCCCAGCCCCCGTGTAAAGCCTCAGCCCAGGCCTTGTCGGAGGCATCTGCAGGAAGGCCTGGGCAAACCAGCGTGGGTCTATGAGGCTTGTAGCCTGGAGCCCAGGGTCAGCCACAGGCCACAGAAGCACAGAGGTCAGTGTGGAGAGGGAGCAAGGCTGAAGAGCTCGCCACCTCCCATGCTGTGGTGCTGCCCAGGCTTCCAGGCCCATCTGGAGGACAGCCCAGGCCCTGTGGGAAGACCGGCTGGGGCAGGGACCACAGTTTCTGCAGGGCTGGAGGGAGTGTCTCCCTGTGACTCCCATGTCCAGTGGCCACAACATACCCCACTGGGAGAGGCTGGACACACAGCCAGGGAGGAACACAAGAGCTCTCCTGGCCCCTGCACTGGACACAGCCGGGGTCCTGGGACTGATCCCGGGGAGGAGCACAGGGAAAAGAGAGCAGGAGCCACTGGGCACTGGCCCGGAGGATGAGGACGAGGGGCAGGCCCTTGAGCAGTCGGAGCAGGTGGATCCCTGCCCTGCCCACCTGCCACCAGGGCAGGGGACCAAGCACAGGGCTGTGCCGCTGTCCCCGTCCTCAGAACACCAAGGCCGCTGTGGGCGTGCTAAGTGGTGATCGAGCCCTGGACGTTCTAGGCCTGTTTTAGAGAACGTCCGTGGAGGAGTCGAATCTTCCAGGCACTGTAAACACAAATCACATATAATTGTTACGACTGGCTATGAAGTTGTCGTTACTCAGGAACGGTTCTGCCATATTCAGCTGGCTTCCAGACTTGCCTTACAAACCTCGCAGGATAACTGGGCATCTGCGGGTGAACTACTTCCTCAACATAAAGCATTTCAGGACCTGCCAGGGATGGGAGAGCCTTGCATGCCCTTCCTCAGCTGACTGTATTCATGGCAGGAGCACTTGAAGCTGCCATCATCTTCCATCCCAGTCCCAGAGGCCATGGGGACGGCAGACCAAGGCACAGCGGGAGGGTGCCATGGCCCCCTGTGCCAAGCGCTGGCAGGCAGCCTCTGAGCACGGCTCTGCACACTTTTGCCCTCTGCCCAGACCCCAGGGCCTGCCACCGGGACTCCGCATGGCGAGCTACGGGGAGGGGAAGATGCCCATGTGCCAAGGAGCCGAGTACTCCCTGAGCTTGGGAGACACAGCCTGGCCAGACAGAAGCTGGCCTCAGGGAGCAGCAGAGGGGATGGGGACGGTGGGCCTCTGCTGGGGCAGGGCACAGGCAGACGGCGGCAGGCGTACTGGGAACGGCCAGGTTCAGAAAGGACGGCAGAGGGACGGCCATACCATCTGTGTGAGCGGATGAACAAACGAGAACCTTCTACAGTAGCCTAGGAAGCAGTGTGGGTGGCGCCCCTTAGCCAGTCTTGGCACCAGGCCCTTCCCCATGTGTGGGTCTGCTCAGAAGAAAGCGCCTGCACTGTGCGCCCCGGCCTTGTTTAAGTAAAAGGCACAGCTTACAGCAGCACCAAACTAGGGAACGGCGGATCTTGCTGTCACCTGCAAACTGCGGCCCGGCCCTGGGTGGTCTGTGCCGGCCATGTGGACAACGCCCCACGCATGGGGTGAGGAAGGTTAGAAAGAGGAGGGGAAAAACACATGCTGAAAACGCCTTGCTTAGAAGGCTCTGAAGTTCTTCCAGTGGGATTTCAACACCTAATTTTGTTCTAAATTAACTTTTCTGATGTGACGTGAGGACAAACTGATGCTTTGGTGGCAATAACAGGTGGATGCAAGGGGACCCTGGTTTTTTGCTCACACGCCTCCGGGGACCCGCCCTCTGGGACTTCGGGCCTGGGCTGTGGACACAGACACCCAAGTTCTGGGGCAAGTGCAGCAGTCCAGGGGGCCAGGGAAAGACCCAAGTCTGACATGTTCTGACTTTCAAGGGGTCGGGGATGAGGAGTCGGGGCACCGAACGGGTGCCACATGCTTGACGTGAGGCTCCGTGACAGCCTGGTGGTCAGAGCTCGCAAGCTCGGGCCGCAAGGGCAGACCGCAGCAGCAGAGCCACCTGGTTCCCACGGGACGGCTCACAGACATCTCACATGGTGGCAAAAGAAGCGCTTAATAAAGACTCCTCTAGACCTTTGCGAAAACAGGGTGCAGTGAGCCAGGCGGGGGGCCAGCTGACTCTAACCCAGGGGCCTAGTGACTGACCAACACAGCGTGTGGCCAGACTCGGCCGTAAGCTACCCATCGGCCCCTCTGGAGCCACGACAAGATGACAGCAGAGGATGCAGCCAGAAACCTTCCCACCTCCACCACTCAGGGCAGAGCTCACACGACGGGAAGGAAAGTGAGGCCAGAAAGAAAAGGGAGCTGTCAGTCTCGGGGACCTGGAGGCCTCGGCTTTCACTGCCATGTGGGGACAGCAACGAGGCCTCAGGCACATGAGAAGTAGGGCACTTGAACTGAGGCCCCGCCCCCACGCACAGCTAGGGCCTGGGCAGGGGAGCGCCCTCAGCAGAAGGGAACCAGAGAAAACCCAGCAGCACCAAAGGAGGCAGTCGGGAAGCTTGCCTGGGCTCTGGGAAAAAATAAAGAACATTCCCTCAGAATTCACAGCACGGGTCTGTCCTCCACAGCGTTCAGGCTTGGCTGTGAACTACCTGGATGGTTCAGAAACCTCCAAGCCAGGAGACTAACAAAAAACCTGGTCCCTGACTGGTGACACCTGGAACACGGGCAGGAGCAGACAGAAACCAAACTGGGCGGCCACACCCTGAACCCAGGCCAGCCAGGATCTGTGCACACACACACATATAGGCACACATATAAGCACATAGATGTACCCATATGTACATGTACACATACATAAACGCATCCCCCACACACTGAAGATGAAGTCACAATCCAAAAAGAGACCACAAGAGTTATCAGACACAGCAAGCAGCAGGCTGAGGCCCCCAAGGACTTCTGATAACAGAATCATCAGATAGAGACATTGGTACCTAAAGTACAGTATGAAAACAGAACAGGCAGATTTTACAAAGAACCAAAACAAAACTTTCAGAAACAATGGTCTATCCATGAGAGGACAGCAGACAAGAAGACAGGCAGCAGGGTCAGTGGCCCCAGCGGCCACCTCTGCCTGATCTCTCAGTCAATCTGTGACTCCCACATGCTGCACAAGTGTCCTGCTGGGTCTCGCCCTGCTCCCTCCTTCTCGCCTGGGTGGAGGATGGGGTGGGCAGTGCCCTGACAAGGCATGTGGCCAGCCCCATCACCTCCCCCAGTACAGAGAGGCTTCCTGATGAGCAGTGGGAAGGGCAGGGGTCTGCCCGCATCCCTCCACCAGCCTCACAGACACCCGGCTGCCCCCAGTCCCTGACACTCTCCCCGCATAGCCATTCCTCTGACACCCTCACCTATACATTTCTCCCAGGCAGACACAGGAAGAGAATGCTCTGCATTCAGGCGTAACGAGAACCTTTAAGTAACCTGGGAGTCTGTGCTGTGAATAAGGAGGTGGATGGAGTTACTGCAGCGACAGAGGGACAGGCCCATTTGTCAGAGGCTGGAGATGACTGACAGGGAGGGACAGCGGATTCCGATGTGCAAGATCCACATCTCCAGGGACAGCACTGCTGGTCCTCCCCCAAGGCCGGAAAATCCAGCCCACGGAGGCCTCCTGGGCACACGGCCCAGCTCTTGCCCTCTGAGGTTTATCGTCTGATGAGGAGATAGCCACAGCCCTACAGAAAACGCATTAGCTGTCCAAGATAATGCAGAAGGGCTGCCCTGGGCAGTGAGCGTCGCTGAGATAGCAGCACAAGTGTGAGCATGGCAGATGGTGCCAGCCAGGGAGGTCAGTAGGGGCTGTGGGTGGCACTGGCCACATCATCCCCCTCCCAGGCTGGACCTCGATGCACGCTGGGGTCCCAGGAAGCCGAGCCAGGAACAGGAGTGTGGAAGGGAAGATGGGCAGGGGAGCGGAGGCCACTCGGCTGAGCAGGGGGTCCAGGAGAGTGGGCAGTTAGGACACGGGGCTGGGAAGGTGGGCAGGGACCAAGGCGCTCTCAGATAAACGCAGGGCCCACAACACCGTTACTGCGGTTTCAGCAGGTGCCTCATGACTTCCCCACTCCCTCGGGCCTGTGGGCTCCCACCTGTCCCTTGTCCTGTAGTCCTTGCCCCTGACGCCAAAGCCAAATCCCAGCCCTGCCACTTTCCGGCTCTATGGCCTCATGTTCCTCATCCATGTGCCTCGGTCCCCTCATCTATAAAACGGGATGACACCTCCCACAGGGCTGTTGTGCCACATTAGTAATTTAATATGTACGAAATGCGTAGAACAATGCTTGACAGACAGTGAGCGCTAGGGACTGGACACATTAGCCACCACCACCCTCACTGTTCAGAGGTCTCGAAGGGAAAGCACACAGCAGGCTGCAGGAAAGCAGGCTGGACTTGGAGACACAGCCTCTTGGCTACTCCTTTAAAACCAAACAGAAGCGTGGCATAGACCCACGGCCCAGACACCTGCGCCCACACACTCCAGCGCAGCAGGTTCTCTGAGTGCCCTCCAGCCCGATGCACAGGCCGACAGGCATGTGGCGTCTCCGGGACAGATGTGCACACACAGGCTTCCGTCGATATGGTCCCCACCAGTTGCCTCTGCCCCACTCACGCGCGGATCCAGAAGTCTTGCCTCCTCAGGAAGGGCCAGGGCCTCAGCAGCGTGTACAGAGAGGGACGGAGTGCAAGTGTCTTGTGCCGTTGAGCCCAGTGACTGTGTTCTGAGCAGCTGTCGCAGCACTGGGTCGCTTTCAATTCACACATGTTCTACTTAGTTAATTCCTACTTTATTTTCTGGGTGAAAATGACCAGAAGTATGTAATCAGTGTGATACACCTTTGGAAGGTCTGTCTACTCACTCAAGGAAAATTCTTGATAGTAAGAAAAACGTGGTCCTGCAGAGAGGAGCCCTG